GTAAAAACAAACGATTTTCATTCCTGTCCTTGTTTGTCTCCCACTGAATGCTGCTCTGCTGCATCTCGTTCCAATAACATTTCAAACAGATTTCAAACTCATTTTTCTGTTTAGTCCTAAAAAGCGTTTTTTTTTCTGGCTGCTTGTGTATTTCTGACCTGCTTCATCCTCTGTTCTTTGTTCCATTTCATCTTCCTACTGTTCTCTTGAGATTTTAATGTTTTCTGGAGTTTTTACTGTTCTCTGGTGTTTTTACTGTTCTCTGGAGTTTTTACTGTTCTCTGGTGTTTTTACTGTTCTCTGGAGTTTTTACTGTTCTCTGGTGTTTCCTCTGTCCTTCTCGTTCTGCCTGTCCTTGCTGGCCATGTCTCTGCTGCCCTCTGCCTGTGATGCGCTGGTACTTCAGGCAGCCAATCAGAGTGCTGTTAGTCAGGAGCAGGTGGACATCATCCTGCAGGAAAACGATGCTCTCAGGACGAACCTGGCTGCTCTAGAACAGGTAATTAACCCCGTAGAACACTATCAAGATGTTTCACCCTGAAGAAATCATTTCTTGAGACCATAAACATCACGTCACCTCTGAGAGCCAGTGTCCACATTCAACAAAATCCACAGTCTGAGAACTATGAGAACGTTGAGTGGAACCCTTTCCTTGGCATGGTCAGAGCTAGCAACAGATGGTTATTTTATCTGTCCGTCTGAAACATGAGCTTTATGAAACAATAATGAAACAACAAAAATCTAATTTTAAAGAACATGATCTAAAGCAGTTAAAAGAGAACTGTTACCAGAGATCTTTGGACCAACCCCAATTATGAAAAAAACACATTTGATATCTTGAGGACATTTGTCCGGAACTTGAGTGTTTATTGATTGTGAATGAATGAGCGGACGTTTGTCTTCAGATTCAGACGGTGAAGACGCAGGAGATGAACCTGCTGAGGGAGCAGCAGGAGGTTCTGACAGCCGAGCTGCAGCAGGGACGAGCTGAGCAGGAGAAACTGTTGGCCCAGAGAGACGACCTCGACTCTCAGCTGCAGGTACGTCCCCTGGACTCTGAGGTTTCCTGTGAGTTCATATGTCTTCTATCCCTAATTATCCAGAAAGCCTAATTCTTCTTTTGTTGTTTTTTAGTTGAAGTAAAGCTTTCCTGTTTCCTGCAGGAGTCAAGTTTCGCCAACAGGAAGTTGTTGGAGCAGCTAACAGAAGAAGGACAAGAGAAGGAGAAGCTGCTGAGAGAGCTGGATGAATCCAAGAAGGTTCACAACAAAACAACAACACCAATAATATGACAACAGTGTAAACGACAACAACACTATAAATAACACCAATAACATGACAACCGTGTAAACAACAACAACACCAATAACATGACAACAGTGTAAACAACAACA